AGAGTCAAGGGAGCTGAAGAGGGATGGGCACCTTTCAGAGTTGGAGTCATCATGGGAGAGGCCAGAGCTAAGGCAGCTGGGGAGATGGGAGGCCCTATTAGGTTTGGTAGGAAAGCTGGGGTGTCAGGGAGCGTAGGGGCAGCTCCCAAGGGCAGGGCTGTCCCAGAGGACGCCTGTGGAAAAGGAGCTTCAAAAGGGGTAGAGGCAATAGTGGAGGGAGAAAGGAATGGGGTAGGCTGGTTAGGGGTTGTCAGAGGGAACTGTTGTGGGGGCAGGGAGCAAGGAGGGGGAAGGGTTGGCACAGGCTGCCCTGAGGCAGCAGTGACATTCAAGGCTGAAGACACAGGAAGCACAGCTGGAGGAGAAAAGCAAAAAAGGGAATAAAGGCAAGGGAAGGAAAAAAATAAAGGTGAGTTATGCAGCCCAACTTGGTACAACATGTTTCCTAAGAAACACCAGAATTTTTAATCTGAGGAAAGTCACCACACAGGATTAGACAAAGGTGACAGGCAATAGCAACCCTTCCGAAACATAATTCAGGAGTCAAGTAAGAATACACCCCTCCCTTCCCTCCTTAAATGAACTCCAAGTCTTCTCACAGGCCATAGGATCACCACCACAAAAACAGCTGTTCCACCCTGTCCACCAGGGACCATGAACTAATTAAAACAGATACTGACAACCGGAATAAGGAAGGTAGTGAGTGTTGGTGATGATGAGGAATGAGACAAAACCAGGTCTTTATATGCTCAGGTTTCCACCAGGTCAGGAAAAACCTGACTCTTTGAAAAAGGCTTAAAGAAGTGGGTGTCTGGCAGAATTCAATTCTTCATAAAGTTGAAACGCTTCAGGATTTAATACTAAACCATTAAATCAGTCACTAAGCCTCCCTGTGCTTCAGCTTACTTACCCAAAACAAACATACAAACAAAAAGAACAAGTGAGTTGTACTCCATAGTCTACAGGCCTTCCCAGGTAATGTTACCCCCAAACATCAATCTCAGATAATTAGACTGCCAGGGAGAGAGCTTAGTCACAAGGGTAGGGACTGTATTGTAATACTGTAACCCAACTGGTTAAGCCAGACTGCGGTTCTATTTTGGAAGTAGGGAATTGCAGTGGAGAAAATACATTGGATCCCCACCCCTTAATGTGGATAAGTATGTCATTCTGTCAAAATAGACCAATATCTGGCACTAGAGTAAAGCTAAGCAAGATATTCTGAATGACAGAAAAATCCATGCTTACTATTCAGGAGGTAACACAGGAGTAGAATAACAAATGCTCAACACTTTGAAGGGAATATTTAAAATAAAACAAAACAAAAAAGCCTGTAGCATGCAAATTCACAATTTTCTTCAAGTATTGTAGCACAGAAAAGACAGGCAGCTCAACCAGTTTTTCTTGGAGGGTTGGTAGGTAAAAGTCTTATGATTAAAATGCAATGCTTTCAAACATAATCAGAATTTGAAACTTAGAATGTTTTCCTCTGATGGGATAAGGACCAAATTACTTGGTTTAGACACCATAACCTATTTCCTGAGATAGTTTTCTCAGGTACTCTATTTAATGGCATTCCTTTTGAAGCTTGAAACCAAATTATTTGAAATTCATCTGAATTTCACTCTCTACATTTGTAAAATCAAGTTGTTCAACGAGACCTGAGCATTTTTATTTAACACCGAATTACAGGATCTTTAGAGAGCAGCCCTTTAGTCCCCTATAGTTCAAAGATTTCACATAGCTCATTCCCAAAGGCAGGGACGCCCTCCCTTTTCTTTGCCAGCAGCTGTATTAATCCCTTCAGCTGCTGAAATCAGACAGGTGGAGAGGGAGGACTTTAACACTTTCAACTATAAACAACTCTATTTTAATTCCAGAAGACGGGAATTGTTCTTAAGTGACAGGTGCAGTTAAAAAAAAAAAATTAATTTACTATAAGAAGAAAAAAAAAAAGATTACACCCTGAAGATTCCCTTCATTTAGTTTTGCACAACTCAGCAAGATCTTCATTAAAAAAGTAGTTTCACTAATCCCTTTCTCAAGTTTTATAGAGAAGCACTTTAACCAGAATGCAAAACTTGCCTTTACACCATGTTCTACACTCATTAATTTCAAAGCTGAAGAATAGTCCAAAGGAAAGCTTTAATTCAATTCTGGGTTCCAGACAAGCTGTTGGACATCTCATCACCAATCCATAAAAACAAGTAAA